AGAAGGTGGAACTGGAAAAAGTTTCTTAAATTAAACCGTCAAATGTTGGATAAAACAAACTCTCAACAAGGATACTGCTGTAGCAGCTCCTACTGGTATTGCAGCGTTTAATATAGACGGTTTGACAGTTCATAGATTACTTCAATTGCATGTTGAACACGGTTCTATTCCGAAATAGAAACCATTATCTGATCATGTATTAAAAGTTTTACGAGCAGAACTCAAAGATGTTATTCTCATTATAATTGATGAAGTGTCAATGATATCTAATTTGACTTTAATGTATATACATCTTCGATTGTCTCAAATATTTGATACTACTGATTCTGATGACAGTTGGTTTGGTCGCAAGCACATTCTTCTACTTGGAGAGTTGCTTCAATTACCTCCTGTACACGATAATCCAGCTTTTATACATTTATCAAAAGAAATAGTTAATAAATATCTTGGATCTATAAAAGCTATTAACCAATAGATTACATTGTTTGACTATGATGAACTGACAATCAATATGCGACAGCAAGGAGATAACACTTATCGTGAATTATTGTCGAGAATTCGTATTGGTTTAGTGACTNTGTCTGATTGTGAGATTCTTTCGAAACAAAAAATATCTTTTGAAAGTATTTCTATGGAATCGAAATTAAACGAAGTATGTGATATTATTAATAACTGTTCATTGGATACCGTATGTTTATTGCCAACTTGTCATATGTGTGATGTTCTTAATGCGGCAATGTTAAATCGTATTAAGGAGAAAGAAATAATATTAATTGCGGAGGATACGATAGAATGTACTCCGTTTGTAAAAAAAAAACTTTTAAAAGTACTGTCGGATATAGAGGATGATACTTCTAGAACAGCCGGACTTTCAAAAACAATTCTTATTAAAATTGGAGCAAACGGTATGATAAGACGCAATATTGATGCTAGCTTAGGACTTGTAAACGGTACAATAGGTACAGTGGTTTCGGTTATTGGAAATATTTCGAATAGTGAATATGTAGAAAAGATAAAACTTTGCTTGTTGTCAGGTTTAGAATTTTCAATTGAGAAAGTAAATGTCAAGTTTCAGGTAATGGAAAAAGCTTATGTTATTAGAAAACAATTTCCATTGTCTTTGAGTTATGGGATCACTATTCATAAAAGCCAAGGAGTGAGTTTGTCCAATGCTATTATGGACATAGGTACTTCGATATTTAGTCCTGGTCAAATTTACGTTGCGTTGTCACGAGTAACATCTCTAGAAGAACTGCATTTAATTAATTGCGACCCTTTATCTGTAAAAGCGAGTGAAGAAGCTATTATTGAATACAACAGGTTAAAACAATTTCATAAACCAGAAGCAGAAATGATTGTTGTTTCAAAACAGAAAATTTGTAAAGTAAAAGATACCCTTTGGACAATATCAAAAGTAATTGGTTCTGTACAACAAGAGCCACGTGAAAATATTCAAACAAATACTGCGTGGGTCATTCGTGGTTTCCAAAATAATGATAAAGTTTCATCCTATGCAAATGCGGTATTGCAATGTTTACTGCATTTAAGTATCGTTAGAAAAAAATACTCGATTGTGATAAGCTAAATGTTTTGGCTACTTTAATGCACCGATATAAAAATGGAATGCCTAACTTAAATACATATGCAATACGACAATATCTAGGAGATAACTTTACAAAAAATGTAAAACGTGATGCATCTGAATTTCTTTTGGCTTTCTGTGCAAAATATGATTATATAAAAAGTCTAATCGAGCATCAAATAACTTCCACTGTAAGATGCACAAATTGTGATACTACAAACACCAGTGTATCAAATAATATTCTCATTTCAATTCCTGTTGTTAATTTTAAAAAGAAAAGTTATGATCTTAACAATTTGTTAAATAGTACCTTTTCGCATTGGTGTAAAGAATATAAAT